TAGATTATAAAATATTGTTATCATTCAATATTTACTAATTAAAATATTAGATTACAAAATATTGTTATCGTTCAATATTTACTAATTAAAATATTAGATTATAAAATGTTATTATTGTTTAATATTTACTAATTAGAATATTAAATCGCTCATTTAATTCGTTTCACTCGGCAATGCTGTTGATCTTTCCCTAGAAAACTAGATAGAAAAAGAAAAACTTTTCATCTTGCATACAGAAACAATTAAATAACCAATTTTCCAACGATCAACGACGAATCTTTCGCACACGCACAGCTCTAAAATAATAAACGGTAACAAGGGCCAGACACACATATGTACATGGATACCTACACTTAAAAAAAAAAAGAAAAACATGCAATTTATTTGCTACTCTTTTTGCCTGTCTATTACCGTTTTAAAATTAATTAAGACATTTCCCTTCGGAGCGACACGACGATCGAGTTATTTTCCGTGCTTCGTGTTCACCGCGTGATGAGAATGGCGAGAGGCAAAGAGGGAAAAGAAAGAAAAGCCGCGTTCTCGGGAGATATTTATAAATTGATACGCGAGCCCGTGCTCCTCGGAACAATGACTCTAATTATACCTACGCGATGTAATTAAAAGAGGGGCGGGAGGATCCCCGTGTGTGCGATGCTTTATGTTCCGTAAACAGTGAACTTCAATGGAAGCATGTACAACCACTAATTCACTGTTAATTACACCAAACTGATTTGTTTATAATTTGTTTAAAGGCCAAACGGTTCTTCTCTTCTCTTCCTCTCTCTCTCTCTCTCTCTCTCTCTCTCTTTCTTTTTTTCCTTTGTCATTCCGTAGGTATATCTCGAAAAATAATCACTGCAATTTCGTACAATGAACTGTACTTACGCACAGTTGGAACAAGGATGACTGATTTCCTTTCTTTTCTTTTTTTCTTTCTTGCTTATCGGACGAGGGGATTTAATTAATTATATTACGCGTTTGCGTAAGAGTTCTTTTACCATGTGTATTCGGGGTGATAAGAATCCAACGATAGTGGATTGAGACACTCGACTGCTTGATTTCACTGCTTACATTGCGGATTTTTAACGCGATTTATAGAAAATTTGAAAGTAGCGCGCAATATGTGGGAAAAATTATACGAAACAAATTCGAAGTGCAATGATTCTTCTTCTGATATTTCGTACGTGAAGCAATCTCTGCTTTTGCTTCATTATATTTCGGACGAAAGATTCTAACGATTTTTATTGAAAAATGGAACGTCCAGAAAGTGATAAGTAGAGATACACATACATAGAAATGTATAATACTTACTACGATGTTTAGCGTCTCTAATTGTAAGTAAAGCAATTTTCCATCTTTTGATTTATCTGCATAAAGATACGAGTTCGCGTAAATATTTGCAGTCTTGCAATATTTGCGTTGTTAATCCAGTCATTGCGTCCCTTGGATTATATTTGTGTCACTATATTAATTGATTACTATAACTTGTATCATCTACATATTGTCTAAACATAAATTGCATCTATAGCTTGCATGAAAACTTAATAATTACTGTACATTGATAAAGCGAATAAAATTTTGCACACATTGTATATATCCATTCTGATTTATCGATGATTCATCAATAATATTCTGTTTTATTGATTGATATTACAAAATATA